GCCAACCCGCCAGTTTATGTTATATAGAACATAGTTGAAACCAGAGTTCAAAAACAAAGCATTTTTTTGATCCGCGAAGGTCTCATCATACCGAACCACGAATTTGCACGACTCAACTGCCTTCAAAAGACAGACAACGCTCAGTGAGTTAAGGCAATGATATCTTCCCTAATGAATATGCCATCTATGTGCTTTTTCTGGATTGAGTCTTCTGTCGAAAGAAGATCTTCACTTTCTTAGGTTAGTGCTTTAAGGACCGTTGAGTCCAGCAATGCATGTGTTTTGGCCTAGCACCACTAATGAGAACTATGGCGCTGTTTGGTGTTGAACACGAGTGCTTTGTATTTTGATTCTGGTTTCATCTGGTTACTTTGAGTAAAATATAGTGAACGAATCTCTTTCAATGATGAATATGAAAGCTATGCTTTCAAACAAGCCACCTTGGGAATCCTCGCTTAACTTTGATATTCGTAAATTAGGTCTTCTGGAGCTCATATAGATCGTCTTTGAACAAAAACACAATCGTCACAATTTATTGAGAGGTTTAAATTTTTCTGAAATTATTCTCCTACTAATATTCTTTTAGTATAGAAACTTTTCAACAGTATATGATTTTTGTCATTGGAAGCACGCCATTTGTAGACTACATTTGACTACTAGTATATTTGTTCATGCCAAAACCGTGCAACCCGCTCTCAGACTAGTATATCAAATGGAAAATTTTGTTACAGATATGCCTCAATTTGGTCTGAGTAGTACAAATTCACACTGGGGTTACAGTACTGCGGGTGCGTACTCCCCATACTTCACATCGAGCGCGTTGGGTTCTTGCGCAGCGCCGACTTCCCAGTTCAATGCTCCAGCTCTGGGATTTTCAGGAAGCGCGCCTGATCAATCGTCCACACAAGATGCCTTCACCACCAGCTCATCAGTTAGTTCTTGTAAGTAAAAACATATTAGCGTCAGTAAATAGTACTTTCTATTTTCCATAATCAACTTTGTCTAGTAAATTGGAGTGCATGGAAGCTCTTTGTATACCCCGGTTATGAAACAGAACAGAGAGAAATGAAATAAGACCTTGTATAGCCAAATTCCACGTACTTGTGTTGCACTGTTGGGAANCTACTGTCACTTCTTCACGAACTATTATTGAGTCATCCTTGTTCACTGTGGAACAACATGGTTTATTCTACTGAAGAAAAAATTGAAATTGTTGCAACCTGTAATTGAAATAATGAATGTGCTGCTGCAAGAATTTATAATACGAATCATCCAGACCACAACGTGAGCCATCAATACGGTGGATAAGTTTCGAACTTCAGGTTCTGTTCACAACAGAAAATATGAAGAACTCCATCCTGTCAGAAATGACGGAGTTGAAGTTGCAGTTTCAGGATATGTGAAAATGGATAATCGACAATCTACCGAGATAAGTAGCTAGAGCGTCTGGTGTATCAGCTACTAGTGTTTTTTTCGGATTTTATAAGCCTACAAGTTCCATCCTCTTAAAATAAGTCTAGTTCAGAAATTGAACGAAGATGATCCTGATCGTCGACTTCTGTTTTGTGAGGTGTTCAGGCGAAAGTTCTTTCATATTGAATGATGACGTGAATAGACATAATTGTCCTTACTGGAGCAATGTGAATTCTCATTTGGTGATGAAATCACATTCACAAACTCCACATAAATTGAATGTCTTGGCCGGCATTCTCGGTGATCATATTGTTGGACCATTCTTCATTGAAGGTAATCTCAATGGAGACACATACTTTAATCTATTAAAATAATGTGTAGATCCTATAATTATACACTGTGCGTGTTCTGCCACTGCTGACTTGTCCGCTTGGCCTAGTCTGCAGTTTCTATTGGATAAACACGACATAGAAACAGTGTTCAAACTCACGAGAAAGATACAACAAAGCCTCAGGTCAGCTAAAGACACTTGTGGGAAGGTATATATCGAAACCAACAAACGATCCATGCGAACAAGACCGAAAGAGCATAAAAGGAACTGCAGACTAGGCCAAGCGGACAAGTCAACTGTGTCAGAATACGCACTCAGTGAAGGAGACCACATAATTTTGTTTGAAAACACGTAACTTATTGCTCCCAACCAGGGATACCATAGTCGACTGGTACGGGAGGCAATAGAGATCCACAAACACACGAAGAATTTCAACAGAAAGGAAGAAGCGGTGAACCTCAATCGAATATGGAACCCCATTATTAGGAATTCGAGAATAATGAACAGAATGACAACAGGCCTGTACAAGTACAGGTACAAATACAGGATTACGTGTCAAGGCATGAATACGCTTCACGAAGCCTAAAATTTAGTAATCGTACAGCAAGCCATGATGGCTCGAACCTCTGAAGAAGCTAGGCAAGAAATTCCAAAAATCCACGGCTTTCAAACTCAAAAAACAGTGACACTGAAAACCTCGGCCGCGAAAGTCTAAACCATTTTGTCAATGTACGGAACGCTTTCGAGAGTAGACTGTAGGTGGAAGTCATTTTGAACAATTAATCCGTTCATTTTGTTTCCACTGATATTATTTGTTGTTGATTTCCTCATTAAAATGAACGACAGCGAATTTTCTGTACTTTCTCAAATAAAACGTTCAACATTCAATTTCTCAATAACGAATAAACCANCTAAACGGCATGTAAATAAGCTTTAAAGAACACAACTTTTTCTTAATTTAACCTAAGCTGTATTTCCAGCAGGTACTGAGATTCCCATGCTTAGGATCCTTATCTTGGACACACTGTATAGTCTGTCTATAAATGATAGAAACTTCAGCAGTATATATTAGTGTCACAGGCGTACTGCATTCAAATCATTTACTCTCAACGAATTGAATAAATACATACAAAACTTATTCTTGACAATTTCATTCATAACAAACAAAATAACAAATCAACTACGATAAATGTGAAAATATGTCCAGTAGTAACCAATATATTCTCTAAAAAATAATCATTCAGTTGAAGGGGATTGAAAAAACATTGTTTTTTGAAGGCGGTATAAGTAGATATTCCTTTGAATTATATCGTCACTGCATCCTTCAATAGGACCGAATTGACTTTTTCCATAGGAAGAAAATATTACATTATTTTCTGTTGGGAGTTTAAAGACCATGGTACAGGGGTTAGTGTTAGTCTTAGTGATATTCTTCAGTTTACGTGGAGAGCGCGTTGAATAGGAAGTTGTATAACATGGAAACTTGTTGTTCGGAATCCGTGAAGCGTCCGAAACTGTCAGCATTGAAATATAAATGAAAAAAAATTGTTATAAATGTTTATAAACCGAAATAAAAAGTTGCAACATCGAACAGCAAGCCATGATGGTTAAACCTCCGAAGAAGTTAGCCACTCGCGCCAGCGAAACGTCAGGAAAAAATTACAAAAATCCACGGCTTTCAAACTTGAAAAAGAGTGACACTGAAAACCTCAGCCGCAAAAGTCTAAATCATTTTGTCATAACTTTGAAACTTTTCATGGTGGTTACTGGTGAGGTTGGTGCCTTCTAGCGGAGTGTAAGCCGGCATATAGTTCAGATCTCAGACACCAGATAGACACCAGTTATTTAATTTCAAAAATGAAATTCATGACCAGTTCATGCACTTGGCCCGTTTCTAAATTTACATGCTTATCCACATTTCATTTTCCGGAAAATCCGACACTATCAGTCATAAAATACTTTGTGCTATATTACATCTTTTTGGGTTCAGTGATGCATCATCAGTAATGTTGATATCATCTTATCTAGATAATAGATTACAAAAAGTTGAGATCCATGATATCTCTTCTACTTGGAGAGAAGTTAAAACAGGAGTAACCCAAGGCAGCATTTTAGGCTCACTTTTCTATACCCTACATACTGCCACATTCATCAAGAAGTTAAAGTCTTGTGAATATCACCTTCATGCACATGACTCCCAAATATATTTATTTTTCAAATCTTCAGATATAGGTCAAGCACTAATATTATGTTGGAAATCAATCCAAAAAAGTCAGTATACATTATCTCTGGAAGTCATCAGGGAAGAAGTAGAAAACTACAGCTTGAAAATTGGAGACTCTGAGATACAATTTAGACCATATTCAACAAATTTGGGGTTGAGTTAAGATCATAAACTAAGACTTCATGAACATGTAACCTACAAACTTAAAATTGCTTATTCATCATTGAAACTCATATATCCCCATAGACAATATTTGGATGTAGAAGTCAAGAAAATGCTATATGATACAAAAAATTTAAAACTATTGCATCAGATTAATATTTGGTAACAGAAGATGGTCCAAAATTATACACAAACTAGCAGATTTGAAGTGCGTGAATATGTTTAATCGTAGACGTTTTCATACAACATGCATATTCTTTAAAATAATCAAATTGGGAATCCTCCCTACTTATATGAACATTTGTCTTATAGAACAGATATACATAACCTGAATCAGCGTAAAAAGATAGTGCTAAACTTTCCTGTACATAAAAAGAAAATATTTAAACGATCTTTTTCCTACAATATCTCCTTCTCAATAAATCATCTCCATAAATAGGAAAACAATTGTTTTAACATGTCAGAAACTGTTTTTAAAAATATGTTTAAACAACATCTGTTCAGGTCCGCAGAGAGAATCCTGAAAACGGTTTTAGCTACTCTTTCATTTTTCCTTTCTTCTTTTCTTCTCTTCAATCCCTAATAGAATATATTATTTTCATACATTTCGCGACCTGAATCAAAAGTGATTTGCACATCAAATACAAAGTGTTTTCATTTTTCTCTCTTTTGTAATATTTTTTTTTATCTTGTTATTCGTTAACTTTGGATCTCTCTGTATATCTCAACCACTCTATAATAGAAACAGTGAAAACGTATTTTTGAACTCAAACTACATTTCACTACTCAACAACTGGGGATAAACCCATTAATTTAGTTTAAGTGTCTTCAAATCAACTATAGCTTCGGACAGTACTTAGTCTAATATAGTGCTCTCTCTTCTAGGACAGCAGCAACAATTCCACTTTGCCTTCGGTCAACGGCCCTTCCCTTTCGCAGCGTCCGACCCTCTGTCTGGATTCAGGATGCCACCCATAGGAAATTGCAATAGTAAGTATTCCTGATCAGCTTCGCAATATCAATAATTCACACAGGGCAACAGAATAATCGTCATCAAAGTCACGTTAAATTTAGATTATTTTACAAATTACACACTGTATAACGACTGAGGCCCTTATAAATTATATAACAGGCGAATATGTTGTAAATAGAGGTACAATTTCTTTAAAAATTTGATTTCATCAAGCAAACTATGAAATAAATCCTGGTAAATGACGATGCAATTCATGAGTAAGCCGAAGAAGTGGGTCGGTCGGGTTTTATTGCTCTCGAAAAATTACTATTTTGAATAAATTTTTCGTCAATATAACGTTCTAGTCTATCAATTAGCAGTCTATCAATTAGCAATAGGAAGGAATGATATACAAGGTTCAAAGGCGGATTTTCACTAAATGGACTCGCCTGAGACTAGTTTTGTTTTCAGAAACAGAAACAAAATAACTTCGAATTCATAAACAAACTCGAGACTCGAATTTCACCAAACAGATAAAAACAAGTCTGAGTTGCATATTTTATTGTGAAATATTTTCTGTCACTTCGAGCACATGAACAGTTTACATCAAGCTTTCTTTATAATGGTCTGCGATTTTCATAATCGTATCTTTGGAGATAAAGAATGAAAAGTGCGAAAGCGAGAGAAAACATGATAGTGGATGATATCGTTGTTAAGAAGACAGATATGTTATAGAACGGATAAAATTATGACAGATTTGATAAATAATAACATGAATGGAGAGCTGGAATTATCGAAGTGTACACCCACTGCAGATTAACACTTCAAATAATGTATTGATGTTACTGATTTTCTAACCTGTCTTGCAAGAAAGGGGTTTCCTTCTTGTTGGAAGATTGCTCACATTAAGCCTATTATCAAAAAGGCCAAGAAAAATCTTTCAAATAACTATAGTCCAGTCGCTTTGCTCTCAGTGATATCAAAAAGAACGGAGAAAGCCGTAAACCAACATATCCTCAATATATAGAAGGTTTCAGCACCTTGAGCGATCATCAATTTGGCATACATCAACAGGCGACCTTCAATCGTATGTCGCCCATATTTGGAATAACGCAATCGAGAAACATGGAGAATCAAGAGTTGTTGCGCTTGATATTTCTAAGGCCGTTGAAGTTGTGTGGCATGAGGATTTGCTGGCCAAACTTCGATGCTATGGCTTGACGGATCATTTTTCTATATGGCTCTTCAGTTTCCAGAAAAACGTTTTCTGCAAGTTACCGTCGAGGGATATCTCTCATATACTTTCACCATTAACACTGGTGTTCACCAGGGATCCATATTGTCTCCAACCCTCTTTTTATTGTGTATCAACGACTTATTGGAAAAACCAAGAGTCCAATATACATATTGCTTTGCTTACGACAGCTCACTTGTCTTGTCATTCCATTTGGATCCCAGAACATCGGCTAAGGAGGCACATCTTCACCGGCAGCAAGAGGTTGCATATCTCAATGAGAATCTATAAGTGATTTTTTGAATTGGGGTGAAAGTAACCAGGTTCGATTGGATGCCTCAAAAACCCAGGCATCGGTTTTCTCCAAGAAGGTGAATGTCTGCGAACCGGATATAGAAATGTCAGGTCAGACAGTTCCGCTGTCTGCTTCAATACGTTTGTTAGGGGTTGAAATGAACACCAAAATGTCTTGGCACAATAAGGTCGCTGGAATTGTAACTGTTTCGCAGCAGGAAACTGTATACACCTCAACAACTTTTGATGCTTTATATAGCTCAGATCAGACCTTCTTTGGAGTATTGTTCTCATGTATGAAGCTCTGTCCCCAAACATACCCTGAAGCTGCTGGATTCCATGCAGAAAAAAGCCATCCGCCTGATTGGAGACGCGAACATCACTTGCAACCTTGATAGCCTGAAACATCGGAGAGACGTTGGAGATTTGTCCTTCCTCTATAGATAGTTCCACGGGAAGTGACTTGGCACATTTGACTCCACCAAGAACGGTACATATCGCTACTTCCTGAGATTCAATTTCTAGCAATTCAAATCCAATGTGAATCGCTACTTCCTCACAGGCACCGCTCAGAGGGTGCCCTAAGAATTTACCTGTAGTGCTTGTGTTGTGTCCTCAAAAAAAATATTAACAACAACTGCCAGAATCCAGATCCTTTTTCCCTGTTACGCAACCAATCCTTTGAAATTTACTCACTTAAGTAGGTACGAGATATTCGATTATTAAATATTTTTCTGCTTCATAGTAATTCCGCCTATCATCAGCGCAAATAGAAATTACTTCGGTTTTTTCTTGTAAAGGACGGAGACGATTAACGTCAATATTAGACTGACATTGAAATTATATGCTATTTGGAGTCTACAAGTAAATAACTAAAGTATAATAATAGGGGAGCCCAAGCGGGGATTTCGGGATTTACTAAAGCGCGGCAGATTAATATACAGGGGAATACCTTGTAACCGGTATATAAGGCCATATATAAGGTCGCCCATGGAGGATAAAGGATCCGATTAGTAAAAAACAATTGATTATCAGAAATTCTCGAACGCGTCAGATTGAGGTAGGGTGAGTTCATCACATGCTAAAAAATGTACATTCCAGTAATCTGACAGTTTTAAAGTGACGTAATGATAGGGGAGGGCAGCAAAGTTGTAAAAAAATAACGTCATTTCGACATTCTCGAGCGTAGCAAATTTTTTTTATTTTGAAGAAGATAATTCAAGGATAACGGAAAAGATTTAATCTGATGATTTCCGCGAGGCGAAATAACAAAAATTCGTCGATAAAGTTTAATGCGTGCAGCTGTGTGATACCTATATTTCCCTCTCAGAGTTTCTATTCCTCTTTCACTTTTTCTCTATCACAGAGATTCGTTCGTGATGAAGATTAATTATTCAAATGATTGTAAAAAATTAAATTTTTTGGGCATTTTTTTCGAATTAGTTCCTTAAAAAATGCAAGTATTCTACTTAGAAAACATACACTTATTTATTTGCATGCTATTTCCTGAGCTTTTCAATTAATTAAGTTCAATGATTTGAAAAAAATTAAAAAAAAATATTTTTTTTTGGCAGATTAGGCGAATCACTCTAGATAATTGTCAGATTATCTAGAGACATCACGTCTTGAACATAAAAATGAACGATATATATCTTAATCTGACGCGCTTGCGTATTTCAAAATGACCAATTTTTTTTCCGCATTATAATAATGGCCTCGAGTTTGCGTCAGATCGAAATCGTCAAATTATCGAATGAGAGTTTTTTTTTGTTGCACGTAACACCCCTTTAGAAAATCTGACGCGCTCGATTACATTTTTTTCTTTTCACTTTAAACCCTTACGTACAACAACAATCAGATTAACATACGAAAATTATTAAAAATAAGTAGGACATTGATGCTATCAATATTTGACGCGCTCGAGTATGTCCATGCAACAGTGATTTTTTACCTATTTAAAAATCTATAGCCGCTTCCCCCACCGATGAAAAGGTATATATTATATTACATTTTTTTCTTCTTTTCATCTAAGCTTTGCAACCTAATATGTCTCTATGACGCCCGAGTAAATCTCCATTTGACATCGTGGGCTCCCCTACTATAAATAACTGGAACAAAAACCACAATTTGAAATAACAATTATTTGCGCACCTATTTCGACCAGAATCAGTAACGGAGTTAAAATTCTTCTGAAATTAATAGACGCTTGTCAGGCTTGACTGATTTTTACGAACACAGCGGTGTTGGATAGAGAATCGAAAGGTCTTGAAATCAGGAGCTACGTGACCCCTCTTTACATTAAAAAAATGTTAATGATGCCCTCTTGACACTAAGCCACGTGACCACCATCATTTTTATGTCAAAACGTGATAAAATTAGTACTTTTTTCCTGAGTTTTACCCGACCTCGATAGCTTGTTTCGTTCAAAAGTTAGGGAGGGGGAAGGGCTTTTTACGTCCTCACTATATTTTATGTCCTCACTATATTCCTCAATAGAAGTATACTGTTAATATCAAAAGATAATGTCCATCTATAGTTATAGAGAAGTAAAATAAAGAAAAGCAAATATTCCAAATTTTTTATCAAATCAAGAATTTCTTATTTTGCATATCACTTTCAAATGGTTACTTTGGTCCATTGAAAATGTAAATCCCAGTAACAATCCTGTTAAGCTCAGATTCAAAATAGTGAACCAAAAATCCGAATAACTTCTCCATGCCGTGCAACATATCTAATTTAGGAGTACCCCTTTATTTTACCCGAGGGATAAACATTCTAAATGAAAACAAAACCCATTCATTCTGCTTGTAAACTCAGCGTAGTGATTTGAATGTAAAGTGTTCTCGTATAGTAATGCTGGATATTCTCTCTTTAATCTGTTTGTGCATAAATTCCCTTCAGAGGAGTGTCAAGATTTAATTAATGAAAGTAAAGGGATATTCTGATAGAAAAAAAAATTGGTGAATTATACTTTATGGTTGTTATAATTGTTTTTCGAAAATCTTGTATGACAATATTAGCACTAGCTAATGGATATTATACAGGGTGTTCCAACTTGATCCCCCAAGTCAGAAACGTACGTGTAATCAAAAATTTCGAAGAACACTTAAATTTTTATTTCTAGGGAGACTAATTCTGATATGGAAATCATACCTGAAATTTCACCCCCCTGCCGCTGTAGTCAGCAACTACACAAAATTCGCTGTCGCTCATTTGATTGAGGAAATCAACAAAAGTAATATCAATGGCACCACAGTCAACGGACAAAGTATTCAAAATGACCTCCATCTAGTTCCATACAATAGTACAGTCACTTTCGAAAGCGGTCCTTACATTATTGAAGATGTCCGGAGTAAGAAATCGGTATTCTTGATCAATCCTCTGTCGCAGGTCTTCTAGATTTGTAGAATTTTTTTAATCACTAGTAACCGTTTCGAAATGGACGATGCTGTTAGTTTTTCCTGCACTGGTAGTTTTTGTTCAATTTAGTTGTCGCAGAACAAAAAGTAG